TGGTCTAAAAGTCGTTGGAACGTGGCAGGGGCCGAATGGAGGCCAAACGGCATCACAGTGAACTGAAACAAACCTACCCCCGGTACAGTAAAAGCCGTTACTGGGCTGATCTCAGTGGCTAAAGGAACCTGCCAGTAGCCATTGGCTAGGTCCAGGGTTGATATAAATTTGGCATTTTTGAGTTTGTCCAAAATAGCATTGATACGCGGAAGTGCATAAGCATCCAGGTCGGACGCCCTATTAATAGCACGAAAGTCAATGCAAAACCGATACTTGCCGGATGGTTTACGGATTAGAACAACCGGCGAAGACCAGCTACTACTTGATTTTTCAATTACTCCGTCGTCCAGCATTTGTTTCACCTCGTCGTTAATCACACCCTGCATCGCAGGGTTGCGAGGATAGTATCGTTGCTTAATAGGGGCTACTCCCGGTTTCAGATTTATTTTGTGTTCTATTAACGAAGTTCGTCCCGATACCTGATTAAAAAGGGGCAATTGCTTACCTAAGAACTCGTCTAGTTGAGTTTTCTGACCTTTAGAGCTCCTAACCCCTTCTCTTCTTGGGTACTATCGAACTTGTCCGATCCCTTTAAACAAGTTACTTTGATGTTGTACGAAATCAAATTTAGCTTACTAATCATATCAATTCCTAACATGACATCACACGTCAATGAGGGCAAACAAACCGCCTTAATCTTCTGACGCGTACCCTCAATAATACCCTCAAACTCATAAACACAATTTTGTTGCACTTTAGCCCCGTCCGCTAACTGTACTAAAATAGACGCGTTTTTAGCTTTTATGCCCTGCGCCTCCAAATGTTTTGCCACTTAGGAATTAATTAAAGTTATCGCGGCACCGGTGTCTAAAAGCGTCCAAAAAGCCTGTCTATAAATATTAATTTGAAAATAGGGCCGCTGATCTAAATTAGCAGTGCCGACTCCAACCCCTTCCGGGAACTTTTTGACTTTTTCCAGCCAAATATGCCAGTCGGAGGATTTAGGATTAGATTTGGACTCGGGCGACCTCCTATCACCTAAGCCCGTGGCTCGTTTCCCTGACGACATCCACAATCACGGGTTCGAATACCTACCTTCTTACAGTGGAAGCATTTTAACACTTTTGGTAATTTACTATGATAATATGCATGACCAATTTCATTACAATTCAAACAAGTAGGTGTACGTCTTTGTTTATTTGTTTGGGACATCAGTGTATTATTATTCGGCTGTGTTTGTTTACTAAAATCGCGGGGAACCCCCTTATCGGAGAGTTGATAAGCCGGTCGAGTATTATACTGCGGACTACTTTCACTTTACAGTCTGGACATTTTTTATAATTCCCTGGTCCAGCGGTTGAAGTTTTGACGTTGTGTTGGCAGGAAGGAACTGAACTTTGATTGTGTCAAGCTTTGATGTCGTTATGTGCACTACAGTTGTCAATGAATAAAAGAATGTTAAATTTTTCCTTCTTCATTTGTTTGTCTAGCTTAAGCAACCATTGCCCAAAAAGGTTACTATTCATCCATGCTTTTGGATTTGTGTCATATTCAAAAGGAAATTACTTAACACCAGCAAAACATCTAGGTTTTTTTGTATTTACCGATCATGTGCGGCTTCTAAAAAGTTCTAAAAGTCGTGATATTTATGGCCTGTCTAGTGATGTGCTATAGTTATTTGTGCAACTAGTGAGAAAAGTGAGCAATTGACTCACTCGAGAGAAATCCTTACTCACGAGCCGTAGGCGAGTGAGGAATGGTTTCTCGAGTGAGGCAATTGTACTTTGAACTCGAGTTGCACATTATACTTTTCCTACAGTTACCATAAAACAAATAAATTGGTGAAGAAACATAACCTATTTTTACACAGAAGTGAACTTTTAATATAACATTTAATGTGAAGTGACAAATACAACAGTACAACAGCTGACCAGCTGATTTACAGCCAGTGCTGCCAACGTATTTCGCGCGCATACGACGTTGCCTGCATGTTACGCGCTCACTATTTCGTGCCTTCACGTTGCAAATCTGGAGTGAGACAAAGTAATTAGAGTGAGACAATGTTAACATTGTCTCACTGATGAGCGAATTGGCCACTTTGCTTTCTCAAATCAGTGAGAGAACATGTACATTGTTAGGTAACTGTAGGAAAAAGTCTATTTTACCTGTGATTGTAGAGCCTTTAACCTATTGTATAAATAGTTGTCTTATTGAAGGTGTATTTCCTGCAAAGCTTAAGTTATCTAAGGTTGTTCCTGTTTTTAAGAAAGGGTGCAGAGATCTCCCAGCTAGTTATAGGCCAATAGCTTTAATTCCAGTCTTTGCCAAAGTTTTTGAACGAATTTTACATGACCAGCTGTACAATTATTTTGAAGATAATTCCTTGTTTTCAACTATACAGTATGGTTTCAGAACTGGGAAATCTACAATTCAAGCTGTGACCTATCTTGTAGATGCAATCCTAGCAAACCTTGAAAGCAGAGCCGATACTGGTGTCACCTTATGTGACCTCAGTAAAGCCTTTGATTGTGTTTGTCATGAGACATTGCTGGCTAAGTTAAAGTACTACAAGGTGACTGATACAACTCTGTCACTTCTTAGCTCATACCTAGATAATAGAGAACAAATAGTCTGTGTCAATAATCAGTATTCATGTAAGAGACTTGTACCCTTTGGCGTGCCGCAAGGTTCGGTTCTTGGACCTCTTTTATTCCTTGTCATGGTTAATGACATTGATGTTAATGTACCATTTGAGACTGTATGTTTTCCTGATGACACTACTTTGTTTAATGCTGGTTCTGATATAAAAACTGTCAATTTGAATTCTGAAAGTGCCCTTAAAAGTGTATCCAACTGGTTCAGTACCAATGGTTTCATACTTAACAATGACAAAACTCAAACCATAGTTTTTAGTAATAAAAATGTCAAGGCTAGTGATTCTCCCTCCTGTGATCAATTAGGGTTAGTTCTTGGTAGAAAATTGACATGGCAATTTCATACGGATTATATTTGTAACAAACTTTCAAGAGTTGTATATTTACTAAGATCTTTAGATAAAAATGTCCCGAAGTCATATCTCAAGCTTGCTTACAATAGTTTCTTTCAAAGTAATTTACTGTATGGCATATGTTTATGGGGAAATGCAGCTGGAGTACATGATGTCTTACTGGTTCAGAAAAAAGCTGTCAGAATACTAGCTTCAGCTGACTACTCAGAGCACTGTAGGCCTATTTTTATCCATGAAAAAGTGTTAACTGTCTTTAGTTTATATGTTTTGTATGTTCTATTAGAAGTAAAAAAACAATCTGTATTCTTGTTGAAACGGCTAAATGTACATAGCCACAACACAAGGCTCAAGCATGAAAGACATTCCCTTTTGTAGATTGACCAAAGCAGCCAAAAGCTCTAAAGTTATAGGGCTTAAACTGTACAATATACTACCTCATCATGTCAAGAATATTGAATCCTTTGCTAATTTTAAAACTGTTGTAACAAATGGTCTTCTAAAGCACCCACTTTATTCTGTTAATGAGTTTTTGCATTTGAGTGCTATTGATTTTATAGATTTTAAGTAACATGCATTGTTATTCAACAATTTTTATTTTATGATATTTATTCTCAATTGACAACTGTGATCTCTTCTGTGATATAGGCTAAGTTTTACATGTATGTTATATGAGGTCTACTGTGATAATGTTCATGACTCTGTTACATTTTCTAGTTTATAGTTTTCTTTGACAATGTCTATTGCACAACTGTGTCTAATGACAATAAAGGATTCTTATTCTTATTCTTATTCTTAAACGGCTTTAACTTTTCTATTCATGTCATATTACTCGCAAGCGAAAGTGTTGCTCGAACTTAACTGTTCTTACCACCATAACATTTTTTGTTTTTGAAAGTTAAAGTTTTATCGGGAAGACATTGGTAGTACAAGGCCGTTTCATCAGCATTAAATATTTGTTTTTTAGGATCATAGTCTTTCAACATTGTTTTTAGTTCCTCTTTCCAGTTTTTACATACATTGTCATCAACGCTTGCACTCTCTCCACACACCTTACGAAAAACAATGTCATTTCTTTGTTTGAATTTCTCCAACCAACCATTACTTGCTCGAAAATTATCATGGCCTAATGATTTGGCAAAACCTTCAGCTTTTTCTTCGAGGATTGGCCCCCCTACACTTACGTTATGGTCCCTACATTGCTTAAACCATTTTATCAAGCATTCCTCCACTTCAGGAAATTCGGATTTACTCACTCTCTTATTGTTTAAATTACCTGCCTCCATTCGTTGCCTAACTAGTTCCTCTTGTTTAAGGATCGTAAATAATGTGCTGGCGGGGATACCATACTCTTCAGCTAAATCCTTTTTAAGTTTTCCATCACTGTTCACTTCATTAATTATTTTAAGTTTTTCTGCCAAGGTTAAGGACTTGTACTTCTTACCACTCATTCTAGCTCACTGCACTAAAACACTCATCAACTAACAATCAATTAGGCCTAACACCGCAAAATCTGACTGAATGTTAAAGACGTCTACATTGCATATAAAACGGTTGGATACTGATGAGCTAACTGTGGGAAGATCAATAAGAGCGTCAGTTCATGTTTCAACAGGATAATTTTTTGTCGTGAATTCGAATTGCAGAAGCTTACGGTAACGCAGTTCGAATTGTAGAGGTTGACTTTGAATTGTGGAGGTAACACTTCAAATTACGGCAATAAATTCAAATAGTAGAGGCTTGTGTATGTGCAAATTCAAATTATAGAGGCTCCCTAAAGCGTGAAAATCACTTCGAATTATCGGTATTATATTATTTTTTGAATTTTAGAGGTTTTCTGAGGGGAATAGACAAACATTTCTAATTATAGAGGTTTTTGAATTATCGAGGTTCAAATTAGCGAGGTTCTACTGTATTTAGATAATGTGATGGTTAATTATTGGCTATGTTGCAAATTCAATGTTCAGGAGACTTGAGAAGTATTTTGATTTAATACCTGAGTATATGGGATGAGTGCAGAGTACAACAAGACGCCAGTATCAGTGTAGACCCTGACAACGTTGGTGTATTCCTGTGTTGCAGCACTGGTGTTGGCGGCCCGGCTACCAGCCACGCTCAGTAGTTGGCGACAGTTGCTCCACTCCAGGTGCAGAGGACTCAGCCCAGTGCTGATCCTAATGGGACTCACGTCGTCGTGATGCTTCAGCAATAAGATGCAGCCATTCTCCACACTGACTGCCAGCACGTAACGACTTGTATCTGATTCAGACAAGGGCGGTTTACAAATTAACTTCATAAACTATATAACAACAAAATGTGAATGTATGGTTACAAATTTTTAAGTTTAAGTAACACAATAAATTGTCAAGCATAAGAGTGATTAACTGCTTAAACTTAGCTTTATGATGTTTTCACCAAAAGAAGTAGACTGAGTATTTTGTATTTTTTTAAATCTCTATGAGTAGAACAGACTAAGGCAAAACTGTAAAGGCAGCGTGTTGTATTTTGTCCATCCATATTCGAGGACAATATCATCTGCATAAATATAAGTTGTCTAGAAAATGTATCACCTCCTCGGACCCCAGCCTAAAGTAAACAAATTTTTATTTGATTTCTTTGGTTTTAGAATAGGAAAATATATAAAAACCAATGTAGGACTTAGCTTATTTTACAAAGATCTTATTTTTCCAACAAAAAAAATTTCACCTGTAGGTGATAGCACTCTATTTTATAGTAGGAAATGACAGTTTGTACAATCCAGTGCAATTATTAGCTCCAAGATAGCAAAATTTGGGAAATTCAAAAAAAAAGTTGAAACTTGTTGGAAATCATTTATTTAAGGTCTCCTGAACCCACAGATGAAAGTCCCAAAAAAATCACATGGGGACTTTTCCGCCATTTTCAAAAATAAGTCGGCCATGTTGGATTTATGCAATTGTTTATGGAAATGGGTGTTACTAGTAAAGTAATTGACTTAAAAACCTCCTGTTAGCATAAAAATTTCTTGTAGACTCCCGGCTGGATATTAAATCTAAAGAAAATGTGTTACTTTATTTTCCTTTCTTCTTTTTACTAATTTAAAACCTAATTAAATTGACATATTGAAACTCATAGTTAGCATTTTTCACCAAGTATCCTTTTGGTTTGCCGTTATAAGGAAAACTGTTCATTCAAATTGTAAAGCATAAAATCCTCTTTCAAATACACAATAAAGGTTTACCTAAATACTAGCAGCCAAACCCGGCTTTGCCCGGGTAAAATTATACAATGTTCAATAAGTGGTTATAGAATTATTTTTTTTCAGTACGGTACTCATAGATGTACACATGTCTTGGTAAATCTAGAAATTTGTTAAATATTTTTTGTAGTACAGGTTTCCATTGCAACTAAAATATTAACGGCAATTAAATTATCCAGCGGATCATAATCTGTTCTTCATAAGGATAACATGGGAACTTTAAAAGCCACTGGGGCAGAGCCCAAGGGACTTTTTCAAAAATTTAAGGTCAGTTTGCAAATCTACACACATAGACGAACATTTTGGTATATAATATGTGGGGTTAAATCTTAAAACAAAAAAGCCTTATTGTTCATAAAGTTTCATGTAAGGTATTAATAATATAGATTTTAACTATCCTACTCAAGAACAAATACAAAAGAAGCGTTCGATACATTTTCGCTCAGGCACTCGGCGCTAGCCGGTCCGGCCGTATTCGTCACAGCCGCAAATACTACTGCCAGTTCTCTGTTGTTTTCAATCTAAACACTTACAGCTCGTGACATCTAAGCTGGCACTTGACCGATCGCTACTAGTACCTTTTTCAAAAACATTATGTCCCATCATTTGGGTTTCATCAACTGTCCTCGCGACCCATATGAAGGCGCTCAAGTACATAATACAAGGGGAGTCGCCTCCGTGAGGCAGCAGAAATGTTTGCAGTCCGGTCTTTTCCCTAGCTCCACCCTCCTCCCACCTACAATGCCTGCGCTAGGCCAAGTGCAAGCTTAGGTGTCACAAGCTGTACATATTTTGAAAATAAATTAAAAATAACAAAACTAGTTTATTAGTTATTTAGTTTATTATTTTTTATCCGTTCTACAAACAATATTTTAGTCTGATTTACTTAATTAAATTGGCATTTTTTATCAGTAACAATTCCTAGGGAAATATAGGAACTTTAAAGTGTAACACACTAAAAAGGTTTCCCTAAATATTTAATTATCCTACTCAATTAACAATACAGAAGCATTCGATACATTTTCGCCCAGGCGCTCGGCGCACAGCGCTCGCTGGGCCACCCGTTTTCCCCACAGCCACCAATACTGATGCCAGTTGTCTGTTGTTTTCAATTCAAACACTTACCTATCTTGAAAATATATTTTCAAATATAAAAAAAAAACATAGCTTTTTACGTAGTTTGTTATTTGATCCATTCTACAAACAATATTTTAGTCTGATTTATCTAATTAAATTGGAATTTTTTTATCGGTAACAATTCCTAGGGAAACGTAGGAACTTTAAAGTTTAACATACATAAAAATCAGAATGTTAGAAAGCAAAACAAGTCACTGTCAAACAAATAGGTAGTTTAATTCCTATAGTTCCGGAAAGAGTTAGGCAGCTAATAGTAGTAGATTTGATAGGAGAGTTACCTACTGGACCAGGAGGAGTAAAGTACATTTTTGTACTAATTGATGTATTCTCAAAATATGTTAAAATGTACGCCATAAAACATGCGAACACTAGAACTTTGTTGAGTAAAATTTTTAACAAATACATCCCTGAGGTAGGAGAAGTAGAATTAATTTTAAGCGATCATGGTACACAAGCGGAATTGGTTTACAAGTGATTTATGGTATTCAACTTTAACAGATGCTAGGATAAAAACTTTACATACATCAGTGTACCATCCTCAATCAAATCCAACTGAACAAATAAATAAAGAAATCAACAAAATGATACGCATATATTGTCATAATAAGCATACTAATTGGCCAAATGTACTTGAGTTCATTGAAAATTGTCTAAATCTCAGTTCATGGTGTTACCGAGCATGTACCTGCAGAGGTAATGCTAGGAAAAGTAAATACACATTTTCTAGAAAAAGTAATCGAGTTTCCTAGTGATAGAGATTTTAGTCAAGTACAGTGTGTAACCTTAGTAAGAGAGAAATTGTTAAATGGGGCTCAAAAAAGAAAGGCAAAGTTTGATAAAAAAATTAAGCCAGTAACATTTTTAATAGGTGATAAAGTCCTGGTTAAGACTCATAATTTGTCAAATAAAATTAATAAAAAGATAAAGAAGTTCTTTCTGCTCTTTACTGGACCATATATAATAGTTGAGATTAAAATGGAAAATGCCTATAAGTTAAAGGAGTTGAACTCAGATAAGATAGTAGGAACCTATAATGTTACACAATTGAAGAAATATTTTGAGTAAATTTAGTTGTCCAAGTTACAATAGCCTCAAAAGTATGTGTCTGGTTGCTTGGATAAATTGGGCCGGTTGTGTTTGAGGTACGATTTCTGTTTTTGGGCCCTTATAATACAAAAATCACGAAAAAGATACACACGAGATAAAGTTATTCCAATACAGTACTTTGTGGATAGTCATTTATAGTAAAAAAAAATAAAAAATAAATAAAAAATATAAACAAATAAACAAATAATAGGCTTACCTAAATAATATGAGATGTCAATAAAATTTTGAATAATGGTCAATGAATATTCCATTAATGGGTATGAACATTTATTAAGCATATTAAAAGGTTTTTTTGTATTATAATAATTTATAAAAAAGTATTATGTTAACATGTTATTAAGATATGGTATTGTATAAATAAAAAAGGTTTTAGATAAGAATATTTAGACTGTAAAAAAGCACATCAAGATAGATGGACAATGGACATAACTTTTATGATATTGAATAGTACCTATAGCCCTGAGTACCTTTAGTTTAGAAAAGTGAGTTTGTGCATCATAAAAAACAGTGAAAACATTGTTATCAACAGTTACTTTGGAGCAAAATTTTAAGCCAGGAAACATTTGGAGCCTGCAATGTCAATTTAATCCAAACATTGATGGAAGAAGGGAGAAAATAGGATCTAAAATACAAACTGCTGGATGTATTAAACAAGTAAATCCAAGGTAGAGGAAGGACAGTCAAAAATACAAACTGCTGGAGTTGGTAAAAACCAGTTAAATCCAAAGTAGAGGATGGACAATAAAAAAACAACTAAAGGTGTGTGATAATTATTCAATTAAATTCTTTATAAAGGACCACAATGTCAAGGATGTGACTTGTACAGATACTAGGGAAGAAAGACACTTATTGAATCTAGTGATGTAATTACGGCCTAGTGAAGAAAGAGACATTTAGAAGAAACTAGCTGTACCCGCGGGCTTCGCCCCGTTTAACTTCATAAGTATTCGCATGGCTCATTCACGTCCTGGTTGAAGTTCGTTCGCTACGCTCACTCACCTTTAGGTTGGAGCTCGTTCGCTACGCTAACTCGCCTCCAGGTTGAAGTTCGTTTGCTACGCTCACTCACCTTTTGGTTGGAAATTAGCTGTTGTTATAAATTTTAAAAAATAATAGTACTGCACCCTGTTGGTAATCCTTGTAACTTTTATGCTATTGAACATCATAGAACAGAACTAACTTGTTTAATTGAAACAGCTGTTAAGATTTATTAATTACTTTTAAATATAAAAAATCATAAGATTAACATGGGGAACTACAGAGCCACTGGGGCGGAGCCCGAAAGGGTTTTTGAGATAAGAATATGCTTTAATGTTAATCGGGAATGTGAGCTATCATCATGCCAAATTTCAGCCCAATCCGTCCAGTAGTTTATGCGTGATTGAGCAACACACACACACACACACACAAACATACACACAAACTCACAAACTTTCAGATTTATAATATTAGTAAGATTACCATTGTTAGATTTTAAGAATTTATTATTATATGTTTTTTTATTTCAGGTATATTTTATTTTATCATTGGATAACATTTGTTTCATAATATATAATGAACTATGAAAAATGTATGTTTTCAGGAGTGAATGTACTGTAGTTAGTTGTAAGAATTGTAGATGAAATGTAATTGAAATTTTATTTTAGTAAAAAATTGACTGACTGAGCCGTTAAATGAGTAGGTAGTGAGTCATGTAAAGCAATACTACGTCATTACTTCACATAACTCAGGGGGTTTTTGTAACAGGTATTCCAAGTTGAGACTAAAAAAATTTAGTAAAAACGATACAAGCTTTCAGCTGTCAAAACATTGCATCTAAAGATTGATATTGAACATATCCTTCATAATGAATTGTCGGGGAGGTCAAAATCTGTTTAAATCATACATTAAGACTAAATTAAAATAGGCCTATTGTGGAAAAATGACATATCGAATAACTTGAATATCTAAAAAACTACTTGTCCTATCGAGCTCAAAGTGTTACCAGATAAAAGCATATGAAATTTCCTAACTTGTGTTAAAAAATCAAAATGATCCGACAAATTAGAGAAATTAAGTAAAAAAATTTAAATTTAAAATATTAATTTACAAGGTCCGAGAAAAACCGCCATGACGTTGCGCGGAGCAAAAGTGACCAAGAAAATAGTCCGAGACAAAAATGCAATAAACTCTTAAATTACAAGTCTAATCAAAAAACTTAAATCAGATAAAAGTGATAAAATATGTTTCTGAAGAATTGTATGGATTTCATAAAGAATAAATAAAAACTATAAAAAAGTGTAGGAATGGTTTTAATTTGGCGGTTATGGCGCGAAAAAGATGGAAGAAGTGGGAAATAGTTAAAGTTATTAAAGCAAATACCTCGAAAATTACAGGTCCGATAAAAGCCAAATTAAAATAGAATGACTTTTAGATTTTTCTCTAGCTATGCTGAAAAATTTGTTACAACAACTAAAAAATTAAAGCAACATGCATTTTTGAATAGAAAACACTGGTTGTAACGTAGACTCGGTCATTGATGAAGAAGCCGTGCCTAAGTAAAGACCGGAGCTGGTCTCTTGGTAGTTAGCATCGTACTCCGTACATACAAATACAAGATGCAGGAACATCAAGAAATTTTAATATGAACGAGTCAGCCTATAAAAATGTGTTATAGTATAATTGTTCAAGTGAAATTATATCAGGCTGAACTTGTCCGACTAACTTAGGCCAATGTATGCCATAAAGACGCCATGGATCTTCAACACCACAAAAACGGATAAGTAACCAAACCTAGTGATTAAACATCTTCATTATAACTTAACGAATTCTAGAGTCATCATAATAAACGTTTTCTATTATTAAATACTTTTACAAAGGGCTCAGTTCAGTCATAGATGGTACTGAAAATCAATAATTAAAAACAGTAACTTACTAGCCTAGGCCAAGCACAAATTAAGTAAAATATAACTATCTTGATGATGCTAGGGTGTAGGCCTAAGGGTATTTTATAGTGGACATTATCTTACATGTATGTATATAAGTAGTTTTTATATAAAATAAAATAATTTTTGTAAACAGGTGTTTTCATTGACTCTGCCTAGGTTCACTAGCTTCATACGAACCCATAAGTCTTTACATCTTTGAAATTAAAGATGGGACTTCCCTGATAAAAAGAAACTCATCCAACTACCCTAGCTCTATTATTTAAGACAATTTAAAAAAGGTATAATGTAAAATTTAAAGTATGCTTGAATTAAGAAGGCATAACCATTAAAAAATAAAGGTGAAGGTTACAGTACGTAGGCCTACCCAACTATCTACAACCAATTTTTGACGACTCTCGGTACCGGTACTTTTCCCGAGAACCAGTTTAATGTTAAGTTTATCATTGGTTATCAAATAGAACAAAAAATATTTATATCCGAGTGACATTTAGTTGGAAAGCATTTTGTTTGGCTTGGAACTGTCAGATATTGTGTTTTCGAATGTTGTGAGTATTATTCCTATAATAAGTTTATATATATCTAGAAAACTGCACACTTACTATGCAAAGTACCTGTTGATCTGAATATAATAAGGTTTCAACTGACTACAAGATCCCTGTCCGTAGAACGGGCACACAGCTAGTTTAATTAATAACTAACTAGCTCTAGCGTAAAACAACAAATTGTGTTGATTGGTTATGGTTATTAAACTGAAGTAAATTTTCATATATAATGCTTACCAATGTTATCATCACCCTCCTCCATCTTGAACTTTTCACAGGACCACGCCATGTTGGTGATTGCCATGGGACTGGCTAAATCTACCTGTGCCACCATGGCTCCGTGCACATCCATCACAACTAGTTGACCAGTGGATGTGCCAAAGTACACCTACACAATCCAACACAATAAAAAATTTGTTGTGTTATAAACTTGCCATCTCATTATAATAACTTGTTAACCCTCCGAGTGTCCATAGTTTAGGCCTTAATGTCCGCCTATTTTTGGCGCATTTGCAAGGTTTTATTAAAACGGATCTGAGAAGCTTAAAACAATGTTAATTCTACTGTTCTATATACCATTTTGTTTGGAAAATCATGGGCTTCAATATATCATACATAAAACCTAAGGAATATTTGTTTTAAAAAAAATGTTTTAGGTAAAAATAAAAATTATTTTGGAAAAATTGAAAAAAAAATAAGTTCGCGCTCAATGAAATTGTATAAATTATAGGCCTATAAATATTTGAAAATAGCCACTTTGTTCTAAATTTTATGAAGATTACAAATATATAATAATATAAGGAAGTAGATTTGCAAATAAATAAGTTATGGGCAAAAAACAGATTTCAGTACATAGCGTTTAGCTAAGAATGCATAGCCTAACCATAGCTAGGAATCTGGCCGATAATTTACATCAATATCACTACCTACTTCTTCAGGATCATCAACCAGCCCTTCAAAATCACTTAAATCTTCTTATAATGCACCACGTATATCACTACTTTTGATTTTTAACACTAAAACAATGATAAACATAATAAAACACATCAGTCATCGGTCCGAGGTTAACTAACCTGTTTACAAATACGCACGTCAGCTGTCTGCTACAATTCGATCGGCTCGGAGAACATAAAGCGCTTAGAGACAGACCTCTGGAGAAAGCTTAGAATATAATGAAAAGAACGATACCAAACTCGATTCAGTTCAATCCGATTCAGTCAGTCATAGAGCCTTCGCCGTAAACGATGTTCGTGCGCCGAAAAATTGACACGTGACACTACACAAAGTGTGTCGCGCGTCGATTTTTCGACGAGTGACGCTCGGAGGGTTAAAGTGAAATTAGTTTTACCTACCTGTTGGTCGTCGGGAGTCCAAATTCCACAAGTGATGATACATTCGAGGTTCAGCATTGATGACCAGTAGCGCTGTCCTGCCACTGACCCCACAAGGACAAATCCATCCTGCAATGACAATAGGTAAGTTACATTAGTAATAATTATTGTATTTACTTGTTAATTATGTCACAGTAGAACAGAGCCCATTGTGTTTAAATACAACGGTCTCTTGAATAATAGTACATTATGATGTATGCTTCCACAAATGCAAAAATTAAACAAAGAACTATCAAAGAAATAACAATACAACAATCAGCTGTTACAGTATTTATGCAACAATCAGCTGTTACAGTATTTATGCAACAATCAGCTGTTATGGTATTTATGCAACAATCGCGTAAAGATAGTCTTTAGGATATAAGTAGAAAATTTAAGTTACGAGCCTTAGCTTTTAAGTGCTTTTAAAACTTCTACGAGTGTCATAAAGGCTAATTACGCAAGTTGCGTACAATACTTTACCTACAACCATTTTTGTATTACTAACAATCCCTACTCATAAAGTCCAAGAGAGGGACGGATTTTCATTAGGCACACTAGGCCAGCAACCTAGGGGCGGCACACCCCTGACGAGTGCTGCCGCTTACGTGTCCAGCCGCTTACGGGTGCCACCGCTTACGGGTGCCGCCGCCGCTGCCACGTTAGTAATGTAGTACTGTAGACGCGACCGCAACGGCATGGTGGTGACGGAAAATGACGGTCAAAGGACACTGACATATTTAAGAGTCGGCAGGAGTCAATAATTTTGCATTGTTGTTGACCGTCAGATGCCAGTCTAAACATGTCCTTGCACCGATCAGCAAACACATGGGTTTATGTTGAAGCATGTTAATCATTCACCCTAAGCTTGATTACCGAGCAGAAAATTGTATAGGCCTGTGATACTTAAATAACATATATTTTCCGTGTGAATTGCTTTTTGGATTTTTAAAATTTTTGTTTTAGAGGTTGAAAAATATCACAGTTTAAGTCAATTTATTGCTTCTCAGTTTTCAATAACCTGTTGTCATCTTCAGTTGAAACTATCATTGATGGAGCTGAAATACTTAAATCTTTTTATGAAAATTATCTAGAAAAATAATTTGTAAATGAGTGTGTGCACTTTTCTGGCCTTCTGAAGAGTGACGGTGTTAAGTACAACCCCTTATCGATGGTAAAACAGAACAGAATCTCAAATTGATATTTCCAAACGTAGACATAGCTCTTCATAGGTATTTGTGCACAGTTGTTTCAAACTGCTCAGCAGAATGTTCATTTTCTGTTGTAAAAGGAATAAAATCTCGCCTTAGATCCAGAATGAACGAAGATAGATTGAACTCGTTAGCTCTTCTACACATAGAGAATGAACTTTCGAACAGTGATCCAATAAAAATTAATGACTTAATCAGGGTGTCTACTACATTCTGGATAAAAAATTCATGGACAATTCCCGTACATTTAAGGACCTTTGTCGGCGTGATTGCAGAATAATATTCCTGATTTGTCAAACTGTATTAATCTTGTTCTTCGTAGTTGTTCCAGAGAGAAAAGTAAATAATAATAGACAAGAATTAAATTTCAAAATAGAAACTTATTGAAAGTAAACAAACATATACTTTAGGTACAGCTTTTATAGTGTAACAGAAAATGCAATCATTGTCTCCTGCAATAGCGACAAAATCCTAAATATCTCCATCGGTCACGGAAACATCATAACATAGCTTATCCGATCCAGGCGGATTAATTTGGCATTATTCACCCTGGCACAACGTTAGGTTCTCGACTACTTTTGAAAAAAAAATCTTTAATGCATAATGAATATATTGTAACTCGGTTCTAGGTACAAAATCGGTATGGTAAGCGGCTACCAGTAAGCACAGAGTAAGATTATTGTCTTTTCATCTGCAAAGTTAATATCGACACATAGCAATCATTACTTTATCTTAGGCTCAATTACATTTTCTTAGTAATTTTACAGCACTTTCAAAGAATCAAAATACCCAGGCCTAGACCTAACTATTTAGGAGGGCCTATATTAACTGAGTAACAAACAATGAGGTTATAATATCAGCAAAGTCACTACAAACAATATCATCATTCTAGTTCATAAGATTTAGATTGCTTAAAGCATACAACTCAATAAATAAATATGGGAAATAAAAAAAATTGAAACCTGACTGCCAACAATGTACAAAGATACAGAAAATGCTATGACATCATTTGAAACCAAGTAGGCCTACGTAGTGATAAAAATTTAATGCAAACAACCGATGCTTTTGGTTTTGCAATTGAAAGATAAAATATCCATAGAAAAAGGGTTTAACTTAGTTATGTTTAAGATTAGTTACATGTTTTATATGAAACCATAAACAGTTTTATGGCACTAGGCAATGGCCAGCGGCAAATTGAAGTACAAGTAAGAAGCGAAATTTAACAGCCATTATAAAACTATTATTTCCATGATAAAATATGTTTGGGATCTAATAATGATTACCCTAGTAATAAATAAATGTTGTAAGGGATAAAAGTCATACAGCTTTTATGAGCTAAACTACTACTGAGTCAACAGTTCTTGGAAGTACTTGATTTGACACTTGATTGTTGTGATAAAATATTAATGGGTTTGAGAATTCTAATGGGGTTTTTATTGCATATTTGGTTTTTATTGGGGTTTTTATTACTCTAGTAATAAATTATGAAAATGTAAACAAACATCTGATAAACCTTTTATGTGCTCCTAACCAACTAGCGATCGATAAAATTATGGCCCATTAAAAATTTAAGGACATAGTCTGGCATTTAAGGACAATTCCCGTACATTTCATGGCCAGTAAAAAATTAAGTACAATTCCCGGTTTTCCCGGATTTCCCGGTTGGTAGACACCCTGCTTAATAGATGAGTTTGCAATGGTTAAAAGTAGGAGGAAATCAATGTAAGGACACAGAATAAAGACTTAACAAATAAATTTATGTAAAAAGATAAGTTTAAAAAGTCGTTATACCTTTTATTCAAGTCAAGTACTGTATTTCAGTAATATATAGGCTATTATAAAGTTTGTGAGATGGTAGACCTTTTCAAATGTAATTAAAATCCAAAAAAATTACTTCCAGTATTTTTTATAAACACTCCATTAGGGCATAAATTAGGCATTATTAGGGTCATAAAACCAGCTGTTAATTAATCTATATAATTAATACGCTACATGAAACTTTGTCGGTTGAACTCCTCCGCCATTTCTTAACCGGTTTTATCCATTGACGTCTCATTGGAAAGAGCGTGTCGTGCAGATTTGCAAACCTGCCTTACATTTTTGAAAAAGTCCCTTGGGCTCTGCCCCAGTGGCTTTGAAAGTTCCCATGTTATCCTTATGGAGAACAATTGTTTACATTTTGATCAGCTGTTTAATTTAATTGCTGTTATTAATTTTTCAATTCAATGAAACGCAATGAGTACATTTATTTACTATTTGAGTTTATGTAAACATTACCCCCAAGACGGATCGTGTTAGTATGGTTGTATCTTAAATTTGTGTATTTATCATTGTTTTGTGTCGCTATGACGGATCGTGTTAGCATGATTGTAACTTAAATTTGTGCATTTATCGTTGTTTTATGTAGTTATAATTTGTTTATATGTTGTTTTTTTTTCTTTTAAATGCATCCGACGCGACGACAACGAAACATAGACAGGAGGCGGTGCAGGCGTTATCGTGCAGCTACAGAACAGACGAATATAAACGAATAATAATGAATATAAACATGGTCTGAGTTACACACCAGTAATCTTTGAATTGACTCTTTTAAATTAATTGTAAATATGACTGTTATTTGTTTTGAAATAACTCCTGTAATACTTTGCAATTGCTCGAATTCGAGCAACATGTAGCCTACACTAGTAAATTAATTAATCCTACTAATACAGTCCAACCTCAGTATAACGAATCTGAAGGGACCGAACTGAATATTCGTTATATCAAGGATTTCGTTAAAACGATGTTCGTTATATAGAGGTTAGGTTTGCAGGAATTTCACTAAGTCGAGGTTCAGAACCAGCGTCGGTCAATCAATATAGGTCGGGATTTGACCTCATTAAATACAGTACAATTAAAGTAGCATAGGCTACAATACTTTACAGTACAGTGTTTACATTGTACAGTAGAATCTAAATTATACGGCATAATAAAGGGGAGGGATCTTGAATATTGCGCAATCATGACAATGGCATTGACCTTGGTATAGGCTACAAACTGTATGTTTCAAATCTCAGCTTAATCTAACCCTCCTAAAACCTAGCCAAACACTGTATTGTATAGTCATAAACCACGTATAGAACAAAACAAAACAGTAGAGAGTTTTGTAAGTTACTGCTCGTGTTAGGTCGGTAGGCTACTTACAGTACAGTACTGATTTATCACAACAGAGGAATCTCAATAATAATCATCTACTGTAGCATTAGTATTGCTAGTTGAAACAAATCGAATGAAAACAAAAAATTATTAGATAAGCCATTATAAAAGTGTATAATCATAGCCAACTTAAGGATAATAAAAACACTCGTAAAAGGAATGTGAAAATAACGATGTTGCTATTCTTTCTTTTTGGTTTTGTTTTTATATTCTTTCTTAGGTTTCTCTTTATCCAAAAATTGTACAATTCACCATAGCTATCCCATATCGCCCAATCACAGCTACTAAACATTACGTCATCATCAGTAGTCAGTGAATGAAATCAGTTCTCAGTTGCAACATAACGCGCGCAGCGACAGCAGACAAAAGGATGTGAAACGGAGCAGACGAATGTTAGCGCAAGCGATGACGTGACCTTTCCATTTCATTTGATAAAGAAACAGATTTTCCCAAAACAATAATTGGGTGGGGGATTTGTTATATCGAGAGAAAGATGTAGACAATTCGTTATGCAGAGGTTAAATTCGCAATGTAGAGGTTCTGACAATGATAAATTCGTTATATTGAGGTGTCTTTTTTAGCCGAAATCACAAAATTTCGTTAAATCAAGGTCGTTGTTATGGTTTGTTCGTTATGTAGAGGTAAAATATACATTGTGTCTTACGGAGAGTTCTAGGGGATTTA